CCAAACATAAATATTTTCAAACATGACAAAAAAACTATTCCCATTTGTTCTTTCTAAAATTAACTGAACCCTATCCTTCCCTTTTGATGCCTCTCCTATCTTGGATTTCTTCATGTGTGAGATTCGTTGCATTGATCAACATCAATCTTTGAAGCAATCCTATAGCCTTCTGCAACACGAATTGGATGAATGTCAGGTTCCAACCATACTGAACAACTACAATTGATAAAAGCCATATCCATGTTACATCATGTAGAACAAAAGACCAATAAATCAAACCCTAATAAACAATTACAAGTAAAAGAAATCATGAAAAAATAAAGAAATCACTCCATCTTCTTCTCCCCTGCAACTCTAATCTATGTAAATATTACATCTCAATTTCATAATTTTAGCATATAAAAAGACAATGTCATGATTTTAGCATATAAAAAGACAATTTCATAAGATGTAAAGGAGATAAACAAACAATTTCAGCAAGAAATACTGCCAACAACATCGTTACTATCAACATATCCTCCCAACCTTACAACCAATTCCAATCTACAACCATGTTGCATATTATGATCCTCCACTGATCAAAAGTTGTTGATGTCATGGAATACCTTCTTTCTCCTGAAATTTTATATCTAGTCCAAATAATAATGGACTTCCAAGCATCACACTTTTCATTGGATTCAATTCCTGGAGCTGAAACCGAATATTCAGAAAAAAATAGCAAGAGAAGGAGAGAGCAATTGATTTCAAAAATTCAAGGCAATTGATAACTATACACATCTGATTTCAGTTAAAAGAAAAGAGTAGCACGACTTGATTTCAGAAAAAATAGCAAGAGAAGAAGGGAGCAATTGATTTCAGAATTTCAAGGCAATTGATAACTGTACACATCTGATTTCAGTTAAAAGAAAAAGAAAAAATGAAGCAACACATCTGATTACATAGTGAAAGAGATTACATAGCCAGAGAAAGAGAGAAACCGAAGAATTTACCTGCAGAAGTCATCGGAGGTTTAGGCAATGTCGATGTAGAGCAGGTATCGGAGAGGATGCCGGAAATGAAACTGGAGGCGGAGAAGACGCCGGCGGAGGACGATGATGGCAGAGTGGCGGAGTTGTCGAAGTCAATTCCGGAGGGAGGAGCAATCTTGTCGGAGCCAAGCGTTGGAAGTCGTGGTGGGAGTCGATTTCAGGAAGGTCGACGACGGAGGAGGTGATTGGCGCTCGACATCGTCACAGGTAAGAGGATAGTCGAAGGCATAAGAGATGATCTGAAGGGGGTGTGTTATTTTGGAGGCGGGCATATCAGCGAGGGTAAAAGAGGGAAGGACGCGTGCTTGTTATTTTTCAGATACAAGCCCAAGTCTGAAAGTTTAAGAGGCTTCTTAAAGTTTAAGATTTAATCCATAGCCTACCAAACACTCTTAATCTGAATAATTAAGAGGTTGCCTCTTAATTTGTCAATTAACAGGCTACCAAACAGCCCCTAAGTTTTGGAGTCTTTATCATGTGGGAAAGGGGTTTATCATGTGGGAAAGGGGCAGATTTCCAACATAAGGTCTGTATTTATATTTTTCCATAAACCAATGAGATTGTGTAGGATGCATGTAAGAGCATCCACATTGTATTGTCAAATTATTATTCTATTATTCATACAACTTAATGTATTTAAATCTACAAAGATTCAATGAAATATATTTAGAAAAATTATTTATTTGTATTTAATGGATGCTTGGAACACAAACAATGAACAACTATAAGTTATAACACAATATATAAGATTTGAGTGGAAAACTAAATAAATCATGAAATCAACAGATTAATTAATCTCGTAAAATC